CTTCCTTCAAGATCAGTTCTCAATAGTCTTGTGAACAAATGTTCTGTATGTGTTTTATGGCCTTATTTCAGTGACTTTAAAATTTTAGTTTTTCACTAAGCACGCATAAACGTTGTTTTCTCAAAAACACAATCACATACATGCATGCTGCCCACATATTATTGTAGCCCAGTTTGTGCTGATTATGGTGCTACTAAACTTAGCCATTAAAACACGTTCAGGCAGTTAGACTCTATTTGCAAATCTCATGCACTCATTTAGCAAAACTCTAAACACATTCTCATTCACTTAAACACTTATCTCACTGTGATGCATTTGTGCTGCAAAATGCTAAACACAAGCGGCAAAAGATAAACACAACTCAAGCACAGTTGTCATCGTTTACACACAACGGTTGAAAAATGTTAACACTTGTTTCTAATGATGTGATCAAACCAACTGTACAAAATATGAGCCAGTTCAGGGTGCACAAGTGGCACAGGTGACTGAATGATGATACGAACAATAGATGGACACAATCTGAGAAGCAGAGGAGGAAGAGTACATGTAAGAAGTGGAGGATGAGGAGGAAGAGGATGAGAAGAGAAAGAGTAAGTTTTAGAGAGTGTTATCAAGGCTGGATCTGTCAGACCAGAAGGTTTTTTCTCTTTGTCTAGCAAAAAAGACAACATTACTTGTGATGTGGACAAAGTTCTTAGGCCAGACTCAAGCACAAAGACATGATGCTGAGAGAGAATTAATCTCTCATGGACCCTGATTTTACAATTGAAACTTACAGTATTTGAGTGTACTGTAACATGCTATTCATTTAGAGTTTTATTTAACCTTTTTGGCCTTTGCAGTTGGACTGCAGTATTTTTGCAGTATCCAAGTGCTAAATATATACAAACATTCAGAACTATTCAATATTCAGCACAATACTATTCTTGCAGTACATACAGAAAGCCTATACAATATATTCACCTTACTCGGTTGCAATTACAGTACTTTTTTACAGAATTGCAAAATTGTTTACTCAATATTACTTTTTTCTGTAATGTTCTGGATGCTGTGTTCTCCATTTTTCTCTGTAGTGTCTAATGAATGCTCTGTAGTGTTTATTTTATTGACTCGTGTGTGTGACCTGAGAGCACCGTTTGATTTTGAGTGCAAGTGAAATGGTTTTGCAGTGATTGTTTGATTTTGATGGAAGAGTCAGAGGTTTCATGTGAGTATTTGGATTTGTGTTTAAGGTTTTGACAAAGTAAGTGATGGTTTAAAAAAATGTGTTTTAGCAATTCAGAAATTAATTAAATTACAACCGTAAGTGTTGCTTGTGGTACTCCCCAAATGTTTTATTCTGTAATTTAATGTACCGTAGAGAACAGTACAATACAGAAACAACAACAAAAATAATTATTCTGCCCCAGCATCCTGTCTTTGGTCTGGGACAGGCCAAAGAACCTCTTCAACATCACAGGCTATATTGGCCCTGGCCAGGCAGCGGGGCTAAAATCCTCTTGCATGCCTGATCCAACCCTGGCATGCATCAACTAAAATATCTTCTTGCCTTTCCCATTCCTCTTTCTTTTCCATGTTGTCATCCTCTTCCTCCTCCTTCTTCTCCTCTTCCTCTCTATCCTCCTCCTCTTTCTCCTTCTCCTCTTCCTCTTCCTCTCCATACTCCCTCTCCACCTCCTACTCTTCATATTCCTTCATTTCTTTCTCTTCTCCCTACTCCTCCTCCTCCATGTCCCTATGGATCCATTGTTTCAAACCTGAACACAGTTTTTCTCAGTCGCTTTGGTGCATTTCTCGAATCATCCTTACTGTAATATTTGCAAAGAAGTATGTGCATTTCTCAAAACAATTCGTACAAACAACACCACACAATGGATTTCCTGCAAAAGCCTGTAACTAACTCAAAATCTTTAGTTCATCTCTCAAAAGTAAGTATTTGTCAATGAACAAATCAGTGCCATCAGAATGAAAAGTCCTTGTGTCATCATTCACAAACAAGATAGGCAAAACGCTTAGTCATGTTGTCAATATAACACTGCCCTCTGTTAGTATTACCTGATGTAAACTATGGCAACAGTTTGGATGATAATTATTATACTGAAATGCAGAAGGCTGCACTTCTTATGTATGCCATATATCGATTTCAAAAGTACAAATTTTCACATATATAGGCATTACCGCGGGAAGTAGGGGGGCTGAGGGTGCTGCAGCACCCCCTGGAGTATAGCCCACGAAAAATGGGGGTGCTGGGGGTGCGGTGTTAAAAATAAATGAATGAACAATATGTAATACAAAATAAATAATATTCATTTTATTAATTAGTATATTCATTCAAATTAATTGAAAAAAGTAGCCTAAGCCTACAATGACAAGAAGCAACGGTTAAATATGAGTTAAGTTGAATCAAATTGACTGTGAAAGTCGTTTCAGCTGATTAAACGTATTAAACTGACTTAAAAAATAATTTGTTGCCATGATTTTTGGATTATATTATAACCTGTAACATGTCTCTGCCGTTCCCAAATTAAGAATTAACAACAATTTCTACAGACCGCAGAGAAAGAGTGAGCGTCTACCTCAGCAGCAACACATCTCGCATTCTCACATCTGTAGAGCTTAGTTTGATCTTTAACGTTAGGTCTTCATGAGAATTCTCGGCCCGAGTCCGACTGGATCCCGTGTCTTTTCTCTCTCTCTCTTCCCCATTACACAGCTATTAAAATAGTTCAGTTTTGGTTTTTAATGGCAAAGTGGTCATATTTCTTTTTGTTTCTTTATTATTTACTCATTTAACCTACATACTATATTGAATAAATGTGTGCAAGAATTGCCTCATTTTAAACTCGAAAGCTGCGGGAATGAGTAAAACTATGAGAACTATGTGATATAAACACAATCCCGCACCGAAATTCAAGACCTGATTACACATAATTCTATTATGGAGAGGTTTGTGAAATAAATTTCCATGACTTTCTCAAACTTTCTGGGTTTTTTAATTTTTCCAAAACTTTTCCAGACCTGGAAATTGCCGTTTTAAAATTCCATGATTTTTCCAGGTTTTTTGTGACCGTACAAACCCTGTTAATCATCCTCTGCTGAGATCTTGTGATATTTAATGTTTTTTTTTTTTTTTAGTTGATTTCATTTTTGGCTGTAAGTTTTTCTCTGTTCTTTTTTTCTCTTTTCTTCAGTGATTCTGCTTGTTAACAGGTGTTCATCACTAACACTCAATCCTCATTTAATTAGCCACTTAATTATCTCATTAACTTTAACACTGCTTCAGCGTTACTTCAACACTCTGTTGTGTGGACACATATAAGTGCTCTTTTAAAACTGAGGATTTTACTGCAAATGAAACTATTTAACTCGAGTTTTAATTTAATGGTATTTTTACAGTAACATGATGTAAAAGTAGATTGCGATAAAGAACTGTAAAATTAACAGTAAATTACTGGCAACTGCAGCTGCCAGTATTTTACTGTTAATTTACAGAACAATTTTTTACTGTAAATATTACATTTACAAGCTTGTTTTGTGAGTGAAGTGTTTAAAAATCTTTCATAACAGCCTGCTCAGCTCTGCTTGCTGTTTTGCTCTAGTATCACAATGGTGGTAACAAAATTAAAGTGTTTTTTTTTTTTTGATAAAAGAAGAGACACTGGATAAAATCTGTGAACCAGATGTTGAATGATAATTTATGTTATTATCAAAACATAATCAACAATACTAGATATTTTTCCTTGGCTCTTTTTGGCCACAATAAATGTGTTTAAAAACACATAGTTACAATAGTCAAAGAAAAGTTAATTAAAAAGTCATGGGTCAAGAGCCCAATGACAGCAAACACTGATCACCAACATGGTAGTGTCAAACAAAACAATAAAATAACATCTAAACCTCTTTAATTCTCAATAAGAGCTATTGTAGTTGTCTGACAGAAATAAAGTCAATCGATTTAATCTGTTCTTTTATTTCAGTTGATTTCATTTGTGGCTGAAGTTGGTTGTAGTTCTTGTGTTTCTCTTTCATTCAGTGATTCTGCTTGTTAACAGCAAGTGTTCATCACTAATGCTCAATCATCATTTAATTAATCACAGAATATACTGTAATTAATGGCAACAAGCTGTAGAAAAACAGTAATATGCTGGCAACCGTGCTGTAGATTACCATAAATTCAGGAAAAAAACAGCAATATACTGTACATTAATTTATGGCAACAAACTGTAGAAAACCAGTATTATGCTGGGAACTGTGCTGCCAGTAGATTTCCATAAATTCAAGGGAAAAACTGTAATATACTGTAAAACATAACAGTCAGATTTACCAAACAAAAGAAATTAATTTGACTGTAATATTAGTGAAAGTTCATAGAAAAACAGTTATGCAAAGTCATGAACTGATAAGGACAATAAATAATAAAATGAACTGTGTTTTTGCACAAGAGAGATCTGTTAGTTTAATTGATTTTGGACCAATGATGGACCTGAAACATTGATGTTCTACTGCTTTATTTAACCACCTGGGGTCGACGGTGGTGCCGGCGACGCACCTTGCATTTTTAATGATAACAGCAAAAAGAACTTAAATGTTCGTCATTTTTGATCATACATATAAGAGTAATACAGCATTTAAATCTGTAAAGGGTCTACTTTTATTTGTGTACACTCACAATATTAACAAAACATTGTGCTTTTGTAAAATAAAGAAAATAAACAGGGTGCACTTTCAGTCGTCTCAGTCTCCACGCATATCTGTTTGAAACTGAACTCAGCGAATATTTGACACACAGAAATGAGAGATATATCTATAGAAAGCTTGACATGTCTAATTTTAAATGAAGTAAGTCACATCGAAAACAAATATTCTCTGATAAAGTAATCCATATGAAACCAACGCGATGTCCAGTCTTTCCCGTCTGACTTCATTATCTCTAATTAGATCACGCCCACCCGCTGAGCGCGCTATTGATATTACAATCATCCATGTGAGACGCGCGGCATGTAAATGCCTACATCACCACCGTACACAAAGCAGCGAGACTTTTCTTCAAGTTCATCTCGGCTACTGTTCGTTTCTAGAAGAAGACGCGCTGAGAGGTCTAAATCAGAAATTACCTCAAAAGAAGACCGCACTGAGAGGAATAAGCCTTGTATTTACATCAGACAAAGAACGTGATGGCTTGATCCAGCTGAGGGTGTCATTTACACGAGTATGTTTTTTTTATTAACCTACTTGCATTATTTGTTATTGTGTTACTGTGACATAACTTGTACACATTTTACTAGTTAGACTTTTTCCAAACTATAATTCTTGAGTAAATGTAATCAAGTGAAACATTATGAAGTTTCATTCACTCCATCTAAATGTCTCACGACGCCATGATGTTTTTTTAATGTTCTATAAAATAGACAGCAATACGATACAAAAGTAATATGAGTTATAATGTTAATAATGTTAGAGTAAGAATGTCCAGACAAAACTTTACTGTGATATACTCTTTTTGCGAATATATGTAGATGTTTCAGTGTTCAATATATGTACTGAACAATGTTTCAGTTTCAATATATGTACTAGGATCAGTGAACATCACAATAATGTTAATAATGTAGTTTATTTGTGTAAACAGCATGCTTACTTTTCTTTCAGATGTGAGAATAACAGTGCAAAAGAACCTGTTGCAAAGAGAGCCAAAGCAAATAAGCTGAGATTCCTGCCCGCACAGGAACCTGGATCACACCTAAGACCATGTGATGCACACACTCCTATGAGTCTTCAGAGCACCTAAACATCATACACTTTGGAAATGACAGGTATTTGATATTCATTTATATAAAATTAATATTCAAAAGCTTGGAGTCAGTGAATATATTTATATATTTATATTTATTTATTTATTATTATTATTATTATTTTGGGGGGAGGGGGGAGAGAAATTATAGCAATTAATACTTTATTATTTATATGGTGATAAAGACATTTATATTGTTACAAAAGATGCTGCTCTTCTGAACTTTCTATTCATCAAAGAAACCTGAAAAAATTCTACTCAGCTGTTTTCAACATAATAATAATAATAATAATAATAACAATAATAATAATAATAATAATAATAAATGTCTTTTGAGCAGCAAATCAGAATATTAGAATGATTTCTGAAGGATCATGTGACTGGGTAATGATGCTAAAAATTCAGCTTAGATTGTTCCTAATAAACTGTTTAACTGCACTCGCAAGTGAATCTCAAGTTATTTTGTGTGATAGTTAAGTATAGTTAAGTATAGTTTAGTATAGTTTCTATACAAAAAGTATCTTAGAAAATTTAAATCAATAATATATTGTTTTCTGTGAAGGAGTTAACAGATTTTCACATAATTTTGAAGCAAACATTCTAGGCTACAAGATCCAGTTCTCAAAAGTCTTGTGAACAAATGTTCTGTATGTGTTTTATGGCTTTATTTCAGTGACTTAAACATTTTAGTTTTTCACAAACCATGCATAAACGTTGTTTCTCAAAAACACAATCATGTATATACATGCTGCTTGCATATTATTGTAGCCCAGTTTGTGCTGAATACAGTGTTTTCAGACTTTTTCAGTCATTTATATGTTCATAAGCAACTGAAAAAACCCCACAAATGTCAGGGCATGTCAAAAATTCTCCAGGGCCCCAAAACACGCACAGACCCCAGAGGGTTAAAGACTGTAACTGTGGAGTTGCTGATACAGTGATGGTCTCTTTAATAAGCACTTAAACACATACATGTGTGTTATTGCTAGTTAATTACTAACTGTAAAGATTTGAGTAAAAGTCATGTTTTGATTATTTCACTATTACACATTAAAGGGATAGTTCACCCAAAAATGAAAATTACACCATGATTTACTCACCCTGAAGGCATCCTAAGTGTATATGACTTTCTTCTTTCAGATGAGTCCATTCGGAGTTATATTTGGTAACACTTTATTTCGATAGTCCACTTTAGACATTTTATTAACAGTAAGTAACTTTGCAACTACATGTCAACTAGCAGTTAGTAGAGTATTAGTAGACTGTCTGCTTAATATCTTCTAACACTTTCTTTGTCAACATTCATCTAACCCTAAACCTACCCTAAGTCTACTCTGAGAGTTAGTAGACATGTAGTTGCAAATTAATGAGAATTAGTTGACATGTAGTTGACATGTAGTTACAAAGTTACTTATAGTTAATAGAATGTCTAAAGTGGACTATCAAAATAAAGTGTAACCGAAGTCAAATTAAGTGCAATCATCCATCATTAAAAGTGCTCCATACGGCTCCGGGGGGTGAATAAAGGCCTCTTGAAGTGAATCGATGTGTTTTTGTAAGAAAAATATTCATATTTAAAACTTTATAAACCGCAATTTCTAGCTTCTGCTAACTGTCCTACGCGCATTCACGATAGACCACCGTTCTGGCGGATAACGTAGGACGATTAGAAGTGATGAACGCGGAAGCGCAGAGGAGAGAGCAAAACAAAATTCCAGTCACGAATTAGCAGTACAAGACAAGGATTTCTAAAGAAAAATTTCGGAGGATTTCGATATAAGCCAAAAGGAGACTGGTTTTCCTTTGCGGTTTTGTAAGAAAAATATCCATATTTAAAACGTTATGAACACCTTTCTTTCACTTCTCCTAACTGTCGTATGCTGAAGCCGTTCCGACGGAGGACGTATGCGTAGCGTAAGCGCCGGTGATTAGTGACGAACGCAGAAGCGCAGCGGAGAGACAGCAAAACAAAACGCCGGTCACAAATTAGAAGTACAAATAATGTTGGAGGATTTCGATATAAGCCAAGAGGAGACTTGTTTTCCTTTGCTAAAGAAAGGAAACTTTGCTTCCTTTGCTCCAGTAAACAAAACTTGGTTCTCACGAGACTAGCATATTCTCACCGGAGCTTACGCTATGCCTACATCCTACTTTATCCGCTGAAATGCCACTCTCTCGTGAACACAAGTACAACAGCTAGTGGAAGTTAGAGATTACTGTTTATAAAGTTTTAAATATGAATATTTTTCTTACAAAAACGCATCGATTCGCTTCAGGTGGCCTTTTTTCACCCCCGGAGCCATTTGGAGCACTTTTTATGATGGATGGATGCGCTTAATTTGACTTCTTTTGGACTAATGAAAAATAACACCCATTCACTGCCATTATAAAGCTTGGAGGAGCCAGGACATTTTTTAATATAACTCCGACTGGATTCGTCTGAAAGAAGAAAGTCATATACACCTAGGATGCCTTGAGGGTGAGCAAATCATGGGGTAATTTTCATTTTTGGGTGAACTATCCCTTTAAGTGTTTGCAGTTTTATATTAAGAATTATCCCTTTTTAGTGGACTCAAATGAAATAAGTTCACAGTACTCCTTGGTCTGAGTTGTCGACACAACAGATCTCGTAACAGTTTCTGCTGATGTGTCCTACGATGAGAATAGAGGCCAATCCTTGAGGCACATATTCGGCAACAGGTATCGTACATAAACTGACTAGATATTGTCCGGTTTGGGATGTTTAACTTTCGGCATCTTCGTTTGTCTACTGCTGCTGTAATCTGTTTGGACTCAAAAGAATGTATAGCAGCTTACGTGGTATTATAATGGTAACATACAGTAAAAAAGGAGAGCTGTAGATTAACGGTACATTACTGGCAACCACAGCTGGCAGTATTTTACCGTTATTTTACAGCACAATTTTTTACAGTGTACGGGGCATGTTGTCACATTTCACTACCATTCTCTTGGGGTAAATAAAGAAAAATTTATACACTGTAATTATGAAACAAAGTGGCATATTTGTACTAAGTGTGAAATTAATGTGGATAAAAAAAAAATACTCTGAACCCCATGTGGATTTACACAAACTGAGAAAGTCAAAAAGTGTTAGGTTGTGCCCCGCTCTCCCCTATCCAAAAAAAACTCACGTCTTTTTTTTTTTTGTCACATGCGTAACGCATATTACCCTCATCCAAAATATAAAACACGTTTATAGACTAATATTTCTGGTGTATGGACTAGTATAGTCTGGTTTAGGAAAATATAAACAGATGGTTCAATACATTGGTAATGAATACACATTCTTAGAGAATTTATATTTCAAATTTTGACTGCAAATGTCCCGTCCACAACGCAGGAATTGCTTAATTTCACAGAGTCACAACCCTGTTCCTAGAAGCACATCAAATTTGCACTGTTTGGATGAATCTCTCTTATCAAACACACTTGATTCAGCTCATCATTTAGTAAAGTGCTCTATGATATCAACTGGGTGTGTCAAATAAATCAATGTCAATGTCTATTGTCCACACACAACAATAACACAGCTCATTATACATCCTGTCCTTGATGCAAATTTCTCATTCTCAACATCCCACAGCTAATGCACTACTGTAAGCATATGATGTGATCCAATGGCGAAAAGTCAAATGATCCAAAATAATAACGCAGAAAAATAACACACACTTTAAACCAATAAAAATTAGTGAATGAATTTTATGACGGTTTGTTATATGAAGGTTGTGTGTGTGTGTGTGTGTGTGTGTGTGTGTGTGTGTGAGCGAGAGAGAGAAATCTGTATCTAATAATAATTTAAATGACTGATGATTTAGATCAAATCTTTAGTCATCCATTAATAGTTCTAAACTTAATTATAAAGCCATAAACTGTAGAATTTGATTATATTTTACACTAATATGAGGTTATGATTAACTGTTGAATCTATGTTGAAAAGAGTTCATCATGTATCTTCATATGCTGTTTCTCCTTTAGTAGCAATGGGCAATTTAATGAGTTAAAAGTTTCACATCAATATTTCTCAATAAAGGTAAAACCTATTCAATAATATAATAACACTCACTGTAGTTTCTGCAGTTTACAGTGTGGATTCTGCAGTAGAGCAGAGAGCAGCTTCACTCCTGCATCTCCTGGTTTATTATCACTCAGATTCAGTTCTGTCAGGTGTGAGGGGTTTGATCTCAGAGCTGAAATCAGAGTAGCACAGCCTTTCTGTGTAATGTGACAGTTGGAAAGACTGCGGAGAATATACAGAAAAAATAAAGATGGGTTATTAGTGCTTGACTCATGTATCTAATGTAATTGTTTTCTTATGTTGTTTTAGTTGAAAAACACAGATGTAATACATATAATACATTTTCCACTGGTTTCACAGACAAGGCATAACCGCCTGGGGTCGGTAAAGGCGGGAGTACTTGCATATTTTCCAGATGACAGAGAAAAGAACTTAAAATGCTATGCCACTTTTGATTGGACACATAAAAGTAATACATCACTTGAATCCGTTAAGGGTCTACTTTTATTTGTGTAAGCTCACCATATCAACAAAACTTTGAGCTTTTTAATAATAATAATAATAATAATAAATGTTTTTGAGCAGCAAATCAGAATATTAGAATTATTTCTGAAGGATCATGTGACACTGAAGACTGGTATAATGATGCTAAAAAATTAGCTTCAAAATCACAGGAATAAATTATATTTTATAATATATTTAAATAGAAAACCATTATTTTGAATAGTAAAAATATTTCAAAATGTTACTGTTTTTGCTGTACTTTGGATCAAATAAATATAGGCTTGGTGAGCAGAAGAGACTTCTTTATAAATTACAAATCTTACTGTTTAAAAACGTTTGACTGGTAATGTAGCCTATATATATACTGTCACCATGTTTGCTCTGTCTTTGTCCGATCATTGTGTTGCTCACGTCCATTTGTTTTCTCATGCAGTTTCTGCTGTCTCCTGGTTTCCTGCATTCCAGTTTCCTGCCACTGTTTTAGATATTTTGGATATTGCACCCACAACGTCTTGACTCTTGTGTTGTTTATTTGTTTGTTTGTGCCTAATAAACGGTTTAACTGCACTTACAAGTGAATCTCAAGTTATTTTGTGTGATAGTTGAATATATTCTAAATAAACTACAAACAAAAAAATATATAAATATATTTTGTCCTCACATTCTTTCTTGTAACTCTTCCCTCTCAGTCACACACCTGACTGAAAGACTTATTATGCAGCTCATTATGCTGGCCTTTGTTTTCTCAGGTGTGAATCACAGCATTATTCATGATCATTCACACCTCCTCGCATACAGGCTCTCTAGCAAAAAAAGTGACTTAGAAAATTTAAATCAATATATTGTTTTCTGTGAACGAGTGAACAGGATCATTTTCAGATCATTTTGAAGCAAAAACTCTAGGCTACAAGATCTATACAAGATCTATACAAGATCTATCTAATATGTGTTTTATGGCCTTATTTCAGTGATTTAAATTTTTTTGTTTTTCACTAACCACGCAAACGTTGCTTTCTCAAAAACACAATCATGTACATTCATGCTGCTCACATATTATTGTAACCCAATTTGTGCTGATTACAGTGTTATTAAACTTTAGCCATTTATATGTTTATAAGCAACTGAAAAAAGCACAAATATCAGGGCGTCAAAACTTCTCCAGGCCCCCAAAACACCCTCAGACCACAGGGGGATAAGCTAGCCACAGACTAAAATGCATGTTTGAGCTGTCTCAACTGAAAATATCTTGCTCTGACATATCTTAACATTTGTAAGTCCCATTGTTCTTTGTCAAGATGCACACCTGTAACGTTTTCTTCTAAGGCATTTTTGTAAAAGCTGCCACAGCCAAATCCCCCTGCAGCCCAAGACTGGTTGCTCACTGAAGCTAAGCAGGGTTGAGTCTGGTCAGTACCTGGATGGGAGACCTCCTGGGAAAACTAGGTTGCTGCTGGAAGAGGTGTTAGTGAGGCCAGCAGGGGGTGCTCACCCTGTAGTCTGTGTGGGCCCTAATGCCCCAGTATAGTGACGGGGACACTATACTGTCAAAAAGCACCGTATTTCGGATGAGACGTTAAAGCGAGGTCCTGACTCTCTGTGGTCATTAAAAATCCCATGGCACTTCTCGTAAAGAGTAGGGGATAACCCCGGTGTCCTGGCCAAATTGCCCCCCTGGCCTTTGTCTATCATGGCCTCCTAATAATCCCCAACCACTTTATTGGCTCTATGACTCTCTCTCTTCTCCACCTGTAGCTGGTGTGTAGTGAGTGCACTGGCGCTGTTGTACTGTGGCTGCCGTCGCATCATCCAAGTGGTGGATGATGGTTGAGAAGGTGGTTGAGAAGAGACCCCCCCTCACATGATTGTAAAGCACTTTGGGTGTACAACAATACACAATAAATTTGGATAAAGAGCTTGAATCTTCGATTTCCAAATGTAGGCAGATATGAAACACACCTTTCCACTGATTGCTCAAGAAAAAAAGATCAACATGTGCCACACAAACACTTTGATAAATGTTACAAGTCCATGAAATTAGTCAGATTACAACTGATGCCCCAACTGTGCTTTACAGTTTTGTGCAATATTCATCTGATGGTTTGTGGACTTGCCATCTGAGGCTCAGACTAATTGACCTGCAAATACTTTGCTTATTTAAGAAAGTACTGAATGTTATCAAATTAAACATGGTAAATATTATTTCTGCACGGCCTAGTCCTGGCTTAAGCTAAGCCCCATCTGTGAAACCGGGCCATTAATTATCAAACCAGGCAGTCGAGTTTCAAGATTCAAGTTTAACAGAGTTCAGACTCAAACTGAAATGACTTCAGATTTGACTCAACAAATAATTAATATGAATATTCCAAAAACGAATGGAGTCTTATTGAGTCTCAAAAATTTGTACTTTAATTTGTTTTCAGCATGCTTATAGTGGGCCAGTCCAGGCCGTGTACATTGCGATCATTTGTTTTTCTGATTTAATATTGAAAACAGAAAAAATTAGAATTTGTTTTTCTGATTTAATATTGAAAACAGAAAAAATGAGAAAACAGCATATTTTTCTTTTTATATATATATTATATATCTTTATATATATATATATATATTCTTTTGGATAAAGAACTTGAATCTTCGATTTCCAAATGTAGGCAGATATGAAACACACCTTTCCACTGATTGCTCAAGAAAAAAAGATCAACATGTGCCACACAAACACTTTGATAAATGTTACAAGTCCATGAAATTAGTCAGATTACAACTGATTCCCCAACTGTGCTTTACAGTTTTGTGCAATATTCATCTGATGGTTTGTGGACTTGCCATCTGAGGCTCAGACTAATTGACCTGCAAATACTTTGCTTATTTAAGAAAGTACTGAATGTTATCAAATTAAACATGGTAAATATTATTTCTGCACATGTATATGTGATGTACATGGTAAATTCACCCATTGACCTCTGACCATCATGGCCTCCTAACAATCCCCATATCTACTGATTGGCTTCATCACTCTGTCTCCTCTCTACCAATAAGCTGGTGTGTTGTGGGCATTCTGGCGCAATATGTGTATATATATAATACAGTATATAGTTTTATTTATATATATATATATATATATATATAAAGTAAAATGGCAGCACCCAAAATAACTGTCACATGATTATATGCATCTGTTCTTCTTTGAGTGGCACTGATTACATTTTTTTAACTTTTAATTTCCCCCCAGTTTTACTAAGAACATTTTTGTCTAATAATTCAATTTAATGAAACTAAATTATTATACTTATGAACTATTAGACTGTATTATTTTAATTATTTTCATTTAATTTATTTCAACAAACCTGAATGTAACTTTTAATTGAATTATTATGCTCCTAATCTAATACTTGTAAAAGAGCAAGTCCATGTAAATGTCACCATACCATGAAAAAGTTTTTACCAAAACAACAAAATCCTTTTTAAGTTGTTCATTTAGGTCTGTATTTTACTGCATTAATGTGCTTTAATAGAAATTTGAAGGAAATTGCCATTGTTTATCCGCCACAAAACTCTGGCAATTTGATAATACCTAAAATATCAAAATCAACCGAGGTCACCGTAGCAACCAGATCCAGTCTGTATCCAGATCAGATGGTCACTGCAGTCACCCGGATCCAGTACGTATCCAGACCAGATGGTGGATCAGCACCTAGAGAGGACCTCTACAGCCCTGAATGTTAGCGGAGACCAGGATAACTAGATGAGCCTGACAGACAGATCCCCAGTAAAGACCTTGTCTCAGACGGCCACCGAGGAACCAGTTGAGTCCTCTGCACAATGTGACTTTGCTGCAGCCTGGAATTTAACTGCTGGTTTCGTCTGGCCAGAGGAGAACTGGCCCCCCGACTGAGCCTGGTTTCTCCCAAGGTTTTTTCTCTATTCTGTCACTGATGGAATTTTGTTTCCTTGCTGCTGTCGCCTCTGGCTTGCTTAGTTGGGTACACTTCATTTCCAGCAATATCGTAGACTTGATTGCACAGATACTATTTAAACTGAACTGAGCTGAATGAAGACATCACTGAATTCAATGATGAACTGTCTTTAACTGAAAAATTAGTGTTTACTATTGTCATTTTGCATTATTGACACACTATTTTCCTAATTAAATCTGTACAGTTGCTTTGACACAATCTGTATTGTTAAAAGCGCTATATAAGTAAAGGTGACTTGACTTGACTTAGGGAGAACGGATAACACTGGGAAGGCACAGGAACGTTGCGGAAGCCCCATCCTTCCTGAAGGAGGTTTCGGAAGCCCTTACACATATGAACATCCGTTTAGGTGCATATAGAAGATTAGAGGTGATTCAAACCCTCATGGAAATGGCAGGAGTCGTGTTGGGGGTCGCCTTTGACAGAAACTTCAGCTCGACTGTCTGCAAAGGCTCAAATGGGCCCTGCTGTAGTGTTTTAAGCACCAGAGAGGGTATGGAGAGGGGAGGGTATGGAGAGGGGCCGGGGAGGATTTAACCTTCTCATCCCCCTAAGGAACCTGATGGCCAGGTCATGCTTCCCTAACGACTTCCCTTCCACGGGGTCATGGTTAGCAGCAATCGCAGCGACATAGACTTTAAGGGTGTAGGGAGACAGCCTTCACTCCAACCCTTGCTGTAAAAAGGATAGCACGACCCTGATTGGGCATCTCCGGGGTCCTCTCGACGAGAAGAACACAACTTGATGAACAGGTTCAACTTCAAGGCATAAGCGTGTCTCGACGGTGACGGTGCTCTTGCCGAAGTGATGGTGTCAACTACCTCTTGGGGTAGGTCACCGAGAACCTCCACTGTCCAGGGACCAGACATGAAGTTTCCAGAGGTCTGAACGCGGGTGCCACAAGGTACCCCGTCACTGAGTCAGTAAATCCTTCCTCAGAGGAATCTGCCAGGGAAGGGCTGTCGCGAGGAACATTAGTTCTGGGAACCAGGTCCGAATGGGCCAATACGGCACCACAAGCAGGACCAGCTGTGTGCCAGTGCATCCGTGCCGAGTGTTCCCTCGGTCAGGGAGTAGAACAACTGGCAGTGAGAGGTTTCTGGAGAGGCAAACAGGCCTACCTGAGCTGCTCCGAAACATCTCCAAATCAGTTGGACGGTCTGGGGATGGAGTCTCCATTCTCCTGGGAGCATCGCTCGTGACAGCTCATCGGCCGTACGGTTGAGCCTACCCGGAATGTGAATGGCATGAAGTGAACTCAGAACCTGCCGACTCCAAAGGAGGAGGTGGTGGGCGAGTTGCGACATGTGACGGGAGCGTAGACCACCTTGTCGGTTGATATATGCAACGGTCGCTGTGTTGTGCGTTCGGACCAGCACGTGCTTGCCTCGTAAGCGTCCTTTGAGACGATTAAAGGCAAGGCGCACTGCTAACAACTCTAGGCAATTGACATGCAGTGCAGTTGGTGGCCCATCCACACCCCTGACACTGCGTGCCCGTTGTACGTTGCCCCCCAGCCAGTGGTGGAGGCATCCGTGTAAACCACAGCATGCCTGGAGACCTGTTCTAAGGGCACTCCAGCCCGGAGAAACGTAAGGTCTGACCACGGGGTGAAGGTTTGGCGACAGGCCGGTGTAACTTGGACCCGGTGAGAGCCGCACTACACGCCCACCTCGGGACTCGACCATGAAGCCAGTGCTGAAGCGGTCTCATATGAAGCAGCCCCAGCGGCGTAACTGCCGCTGCAGCTGCCATATGCCCCAGGAGCATCTGAAACAGTTTCAGTGGGACCGCTGTCCTGCCCTTTAATTAATTCAAGCAGTTCAGCACCGACCACGCACGGTCCTCTGTGAGGCGTGCTGTCTGTTTGACTGAATCCAACTCCATACTGAGAAAAGAGATCCTCTGCATCGGGGAGAGT